GGGGGGGGGGGAATCTTTGGATTTCTCTTGCTTTGAGATTTATATATATATAATTTATATATGTTTGTGTGTAACTGAATATTTCCAAATTTTTATGTATTTCTTTGGTTTTTAATGGAATGGTATATTATAATATGCATATCCATAAAATTGTTAAGAAAGAAACCATTAATAAAGCCTTGTCAGTTTTGTACCAAAGCCACCAAACTATTTTTCCAGAAAAGAAATTAAAAAAAAAAACGTTTTATTCGACCTGATTTGAAAAGATACGAGATGATTTTTTTTTTAATTAAAAAAAGTCTATCCCCAACGGTCCAAGCAAATAAATATATAACCTTGTTTCCCAAATTTACTAGTCGTAGAAAATGTAAAGCGATCTCAGCCGTTGGATCGAGACCTTCACCATGATCAACGACCATCCGTCCATATCAGTTGCGCCCCTGCCGTCCCAAATGTGTCCTCCCATCTTCTCCTCTGAGGTATCTTCTTCTGTTTTTTTTTATAAAAAATTTCTTCATCTTCTTCCCGTCTGCGGATTCTCACAGAGAGGAGAGACGCGAGGAATGGCCAACACTCACGCCGATGATGATTTAGACGAGCTTCTGGATAGTAATTCTCCGATTCCTTACGTCTCAATCGTCTCATAAGCTCTCTCTCTCCTCTTCGTCACTCTGCGTGTATCTGTTTCCGCATATTTTTGTGAATTCATACAAATTTGCTAGCTTTTATGAACGTATATGTTGATTTTTCTGTCGTTTTTTGTGGGTTTTGTTTCAAAACTGAGAATTTTGTGTTTTCGTGTGTTGTCGATGCCGTCTCAGGCGCTCTGGATGATTTCAAGGATCTAAATCTTGCTCAAAGGTTACTTCTTTTTCTTACTCCGTATCGTTTTGATATGTTTCTATATGGCTTTGCGCTTGAAAGAGTAGGTAGGTTAAGTTGTGTTTGTCAGTTATGTGTATTGTGTGCGTATAAATGATCACTCCCTGGTGGGTTAGTTCTGTTGTTTAGATTTTGATGTTCTCTTTCTGCAAAATTATAGGTTAGATTTTAAAACTTTGGCATCAAATGCCCCTTTTAGTAGCAGATACAAATATAAAACTGTGCAATTTTCCTCTTTGGTTTTGATTTTGTGATTTGAGATCATATGGTGCTCTTTCTTTTGCACACCTTTTATGGTTGGGGGTGTTATTCTTGAACTTTGTTAGAGCTTCCGGTGTTTCTTTCGTGTTGCCCTATGGAAAAGTTCCTTCATTGTTGTAGAAGTGGGGGAGATGAGGAAGATGAAAAGAGTAAAGAACCAGGGCCATTGCCGACTGGGGTTCAAGGTCTTGGAATGGGATTACCCGATATGAGGAGCAGAAAGAAGGGGAAGCAGAAAGTCGCTAAGGAGGACCATGTCGCAGAGACTCTTGATAAGCTCAGGGCACAGACCCAGGAGACTGTCAAGGGGCTGGAGTCCTTACCGAAACAGCCTGCTTCTGATGATGCCATGGTTGAGGATTGGATCAAACAATTCGAGGAGCTTGCTGGGTCTAAGGTATATTTAACCTACTGAACTGTTTCTTATTGGTTTTTTCTTCTTTAGCAATTTTCTTGTATCGAACTTTGTGTTGGTTCTCTAGCATTATGGTGTGTTGTTGATATTGCCATAGATTGCCTGCTGGAGGTATGATAGTCAATTGTTAGAACCACTGTGTTCTCTTTACTTGTTCATCTGTGATTACATTTAGTAGGACTTGGATGTGTAGATAAGTTTGATTACTGTAGAAGTGGCTTATAACCTTTTCGTATCTCTTTTCTTGATCACCACTGGTGCGTGATTCATGGAGATGGAGCGTTGCGTACTGTTTTCGGAGGATAGACTGTGTTTTTAAAATGTTGAAACCTTCTTGAATCTGAGTACAAGTGCAGAGCAGGCGTAGAGAATTCTGAATCAAGATTCTATCAGTTTCATGCAGAATCCTGAACCCTTGTTTCGTTTCAGTTCCTGGCCAATCCTAGCATTGAAGATCTAAAACTATGGCTTCAAGATAGTTTGTTTTCGGTTTCATGTGCATCGGAGTTATCATCTGATGCCCTCCTCTTCTTCTGCTTAGGACTTGGAATCTATGGTGGACACGATGATGCAGCAGCTTCTGTCGAAGGAAATTCTTCACGAACCCATGAAGGAGATTGGGGAAAGATATCCAAAGTGGTTAGAAGAGCATGAAGCCAGTTTGAGTAAAGAAGAATACAAACGCTACTCACGCCAGTACGAGCTGATCAAGGAACTCAATGGAGTCTACGAGAATGATCCGAATAACTCAACCAAGATAATGGACATTATGCAGAAGATGCAAGAGTGTGGACAGCCACCCAGTGACATTGTGCAAGAGATCGATCCCGGCTTTGATTTCGCCAGTTTAGGACAGATGTAATGTCTTCCTCATCGGTTTTTTCCATGGATTCTTGTCTGTATGAGAAGATTCAGGCTGACTTGTTTCTGATATGTGCAGATCTCCAGAAATGCTCGAGTCCTCTTCGAATTGCTGTATAATGTAAGGGAAGATCTTCAAGGGCAAGTGGTAAAGCTTGTTTGAGTTTATTATTGGTCTTGTATCATTACAAAAAATGAAATAATTTTTTTTCTCTAATTATAATATTACATATTTACTTGTCAGAACCATAAATGTTATGGAAAATGTTGTGTGTGTTCACAACTTTTTAAAACATGTTTAATTAACGTGTATTCTCAATTTTCTATTGTTTTCTTGAAATATTAAAAACCTTCAAGTCGGAAATTCTTTTTCTTGTGAAAGAAAATGGAACCACCATCAATAAAATGAAAAATCTTTGGACTATATTTTAACTTATGTTGTATGACAATTTTAAGATAGGTTTATACAGGAAATATGATCAAACCCTAGCTAGATTTATTATAATGAAATCGATTTAAAAAAAAAAAAAAGTAACCTCATGCTTTGGAACCATCACGAAACTCGTCATAACAAAAACGTGCATAAAAAGAGTCCATTATAATTAATAAAATAAAGACAAGGTATGAATTTGATTTCTAGTAAATAATACAACCATATCACAGTTGAGAATGCAATAAAACCCTCGTCCCCCTTCCTTTGAATTCAAACGTGAGTAAATTGTGTTAACCAAACGAATGTATGGAGCTACGACCGGCCACGTTGGTGTTCAAAGTTCACAGGAAGAAGCCGGAGCTTATATCTCCGGCGAAGCCAACGCCACGGGAACTCAAGATTCTCTCCGACATTGATGATCAGTACGGTCTAAGGTACCATCTCCGCGCTATCTTTGTCTACAGACACAACCCTATCAAAGGGGCAAATAATAACAACAATGAGAACGTTCCTGCTCTGGTGATTCGTAAAGCGTTAGCCGAAACGCTGGTTTACTATTACCCGTTTGCCGGCCGGCTCCGGGAAGGGCCTAACCGGAAACTGATGGTGGATTGTAACGGAAAAGGCGTATTGTTTGTCGAGGCAGATGCTGACGTGGCTCTCGATGACTTCGGACAAGATCTTCATCCCCCTTTCCCTGAGGAACTTCTGTCTGATGTGGAGGATTCGATGGGGATTCTGAACTCTCCTTTGATACTCATCCAGGTAATTTCATGCAACATACCCAGTTACTTTGTTTGAGAAAAAATCATGTCCTGATTCAATGACCCTAATGAAAGAAAATTTGAATTTTCCTGGTAATTCGACGTAGGTTACGCGTCTGAAATGCCGCGGATTTATCTTTGCCCTCCGATTCATTCACGCCATGCATGTGCGATGCTGCTGGTCTATCCCTGTTCTTGAAAACACTAGGCGAGATAGCGCGTGGAGCCACCGAGCCATCTATCCCACCTGTGTGGGACCGTCACCTCCTGAACGCTAGGGTCCCGGCTCGTGTAACACACGTGCACCGCGAGTACGACAAGTTCCAACGCTCCAATGGAGGTAACGTCGTTCCATGTGACCGCATGATCCAACGCTCCTTCTTCTTCGGTCCCAGAGAGATCTCAGCCATCCGTAGACTCGTTCCACCCGAGATCCACGGCCGGACCACAACCTTTGAACTACTTATGTCGCTCCTCTGGCGTTGTCGAACCATCGCCCTACAACCGCTCCCGAACACCGAAACGCGGATCGTGATCTCTGTGAACGCGCGTCCTCTTCTTCAAAACCCGCCCCTACCACCTGGATACTACGGAAACGCGATCGCAATTCCTGTGGCCATAGCTACGGCCAGAGAACTATCGGAACGACCTCTGGAATTCGCGTTAAGGCTGGTGCAAGAGGCGAAATCCGGCGTGACGGAGGATTACGTCAGGTCCATGGTCGATCTATTAGGAACAAGAGGTCGAAAACACGTGATGACATCGGATACCTTCCTCGTATCAGACGTGCGGCGTGTCGGTTCGGAGGACATTGACCTGGGGTGGGGCCCGGCGGTGTATGGAGGACCGGCAGAGGGCCGTATGGGTGGCTTTGACGGAATTAGCTGGCTCGTATCGTGTAAGAACACGAACGGTGAGACCGGAACCCTCGTGCTGATCATTTTGCCGGAGCCAGCGATGAAGAGGCTCGCGGAACAGCTAACCAATATCGTCGACAACGATGAAAGTGACAGGCCCATTAAATCTTCGCTCTAGAAATATATATTACAAGTTGATGAACAAAAACAACAATAATAATAATAATAACAACAACAACGACGTTATCAAAATAATAATAATAATAATAATAATAATAATAATAATAATAATAAACCTTATACTCAATAAAAAAACTCTATATTTTTTTTATTATCAAAAAATCTTACTTATACTTATTCGCCGAAAAAAACTCTGTACTCTTAAAATATTAGATAAAAAACCTTGCACTTTTTTATTACCTAAAAAACTCTATATTTATAACTTATTAACCGAAATATATTTGTACTTTATAAAATTCTAACAAATAAACCCTTAAACGCAAATGTCCAAGAAATTAATAAAAAATCTATCCGAACCTAACCCAACCGATATATACCAGAACTGAATCGAACCGATTAAAATAATATACCATATTGGATATGAATATTTCAAATCCAAAATAACCGAACCGAAAATAATCGAACCGAAACTGACCAATATAAATCCAATCTGGTATATCTTAGATTCGGTTATTTAAAAAAATATGGTATTTAAATAAATACAGTTATTTCGGATTTGAATTTTTATTCGGCTCGAATTCGGATCGGGTATATAGATTTTTTACCGTATGTTTTGAGCATTTGCGTTTAGGGGTTTATTTACTAGAATAAATATAGGTATATTTCGACGAATAAATTATAAATATAGAGTTTTTTATAATAAAAATATATGTCTTTTGTCTAATATTTTAAGAGTACAAGAGGTTTTTTTGGCGAATAAGTATAAGTACAAGGTTATTTTATAATAAAAAAAAGTATAAGATTTTTTTATTGACATCCGAAGAGTACATGATTTTTTTGGTGATTTTTTCTAATAATAATAATAATAATAATATATACACAAAATTCTCAAAAAAAAAAAAGAATAAAACGGGATGGAGGTTCGGTCGGTCCAATGTTCACCAAGTTACATTGTTTCAATCCAGTCAGTTTGCATTTTTTGCAATTTTGCTTCTTTTTTTTTTCCTGTTGGGCGATAAAGAAAATAAACGATGAGTTCAAATTTATGCGTATATGTAAATATTATCCATTACCATTGCATTTGGTTATTATGTCTACCCTCCTTTTAGATATAAACAATAACAACTTTGTAAATGGTATCACTATGGAAAATTGAAAAATGATTTCTTTTAATCTTTCAACTTATTATATCGTCGTCTTTTATTAGTGCAGATATATTTTCTAAGAAACTTAATTTCCACGGGAAATTTTTAATTTTTGTGCAGGTATATTTGTAAAACACATTATCTATTAAAATTTCTGAATAATAAAATGGCCGACCTTGAGTTCTAAACGAATTTCAAAATCGAAATTAAATGTTGTGACCTAGAGCTTGAATTCCATTCTTTTGACAAAAAAATCTTAAAACTACTAAAAAAATCATAATAATTAAAAAAAAGGTATGAATTTGTTTTCTATAAATATGATTATTATGTTCTAATATTCATAATGCAATAAGGACACATCCCTCTCATCTCCCTGATTTATTTTACTTGCACATATACATATTCACACATAAACATATGCCGTGTATGTATATACGTGTATATATAAGGATATATATGTGTGTGTGTGTGTGTATATATTTATGTGCGTGAGCTTATAAGCATGTATATGTATTTATATATATGTATACATATGTAGTTGTGTATAAATGTGTATGTGTATATACGTATATAAGCTATATATGTATATTTAAAAACATCATGTAGTGTATAAACGTCCGTATATATATATGTGTGTGTATATATCGGTGTGAATATATTTTTTTTTACTTTTTCTGGTTGTGACAAGTTCTTTTTTATATGGAAATATCACGATATTACCGTCAAATCTTCATTCAGCCGTATCGGATTCCCTCTTGTGTATAATTTGGTAGTAAAATTCATCTATGTATATATCACATTTTTTAATTTGTTTATTTATTAGAAAGTTTTTGAAGAGTTTTTTTTTCTGTTAGAATGAAAATTAATTTATAAAATATTATTATTTTTATGATATCAAGTAAATTTGTATAGTTATAGCTAATTGATTTTTGGTGATATTTTGTAACTGCTTGTCTTTTAAGATAAAATTATAAAACATTCAGAAAATCATATGCACCAAACCCCCCAACCTGGCCAAATTATTAGCTAAATCGGTTGGTCGAATTGATTACAAAGAAAAATCTCCGAATCTGTTCACCCGATAATATATAATAAACAGTTAGTAATTCTAAGCAATCTTTCGTAACATTTAAAAAAAATTATTTTGAATGAAACAATGACTTCTATCTATTTTAATTGTAAAAATGAGTTTTTTTCTTTCCAAAATTAATATTGTATTAGTTAAAAAATATAAGTAATCCAATAAATAATTCAAGTAGAAATACATTGTCTTATCTAAATTGTACATTGTATATTACTATTTACTATATTTGTTGTTCTGTGTTGGTTGATAATAAATCAGACCCTTTTTTTATAATATTTTTTAAAAAATGAAAATTAGGAATATTAAAATAACCATGAAGAAAAGAATTACCGAGAACGTTCCAATAAAATAATTATGATATTTTTATGTTAAAAATCTAGAAGACACGGCATTTCTCTTTGAGATAATATTATATAGTTACAAATGGACATAAGTTCTAACTTCTAACTAAAAAGGTGGAATTTCTAGCTTCATTTTCATATGCAACAATGTTCCAACTAATATAATATAATGAATTGAAATGTTTTTCGTTAAAATAAAAACATTTAAATTATTATAATTACACAGAAATTACATATACAATAAAAACTTAAATTAATAAATCGCATATACATATATATTTTTAAAATTTTATTTATACGTTTTAATCCCTTATAAATAATTTAAATACTGATTCTCAACCATTTCAAACTAAATTTAGTTATGAAAACGCCGAGTAATGATTGAACATCATGCTATTTTAAAATAAAGTTGATGTATTTAAATTTATTACGTTGATATCCCAACTAATAACCAATTAATTAGATGGGTTGAATAATAAACCAGCATTATTCTTTATTGATTCGACACATAGTGGTATTGAATATATACGTGGAATAAAATACGCAATGTTTTTAATTTCTCGTATTAGATTTTAAGATTCAGAGTCTACTAATTATGGTTTATAATTAAGAGTAAACTAGAAATAGCGAAAGGAGAAAATAAGAGAAAAAAGAATTTGAAAAATTACAGAATGTTTGGTCCAATAAGATTCTTAGGAGGTATATAATATTTTATAGAATTGTTACAAATCGACGTAAATGTCTCCCTAAAAAGTAAACCACCATATATACTAACATTTACACAAAAAGAAAATTATGTGCTCCCAACCTCCAAATGGTCAAACTTACCATAAACACTTTTAAAACGTGAAAATAGATATAATAGTTGTTTTAAAAACTATAAATAGAATCCCATAACAAAAATTCAGGATGCATTCAAACAGTAATCCTTTGTACTTACCCCAAAACAAGCTATGGAGCAAAGACTAGCGACCTCCAAGGCAATCTCGTTGGCGTTCAAAGCACGTCGCCGGCAGCCAGAGCTAATCTCTCCGGCGAAGCCAACGCCACATGAGTTGAAGTTCTTATCCGACATTGACGATCTGATCGGTCTAAGATTCTTTATCCGTACTATCTTTTTCTACAGACACAACCCTTCGTCGATGATCCAAGCTGGCAACCCCGACCCTGTCCAAGTGATCCGCAAAGCCCTGGCCGAGACGCTCGTTTACTATTACCCGTTTGCCGGCCGACTTCGGGAACGTCCTAACGGGAAACTGATGGTGGAATGTAACGCAGAAGGTGTATTGTTTGTCGAGGCAGATGCTGACGTGGCTCTCGATGACTTTGGAGAAGATCTCCGTCCCCCTTTCCCTTGTTCAGAGGAGCTTCTATTTGATGCCGAGTGTAACAACCCAGATTTAGTAGAACGTCCGTTCTGGGTTGTCCAGAACGGACGGACCGCTCGCGCAGTCCGGAACGTCCGTTCCAGACCATAGAACGGACGGACCAGACTGTCGGCAATGACCACAGTCGCGGTTTTCGTCCGGGCCGACCTGAAAATGACCCCTGCGCACAAATCCGACCAGAAAACTCGACTTTTTGACCCTAACGCGTGATTAGGTCCCTCCTGGGTCCGGATTGCTGCTGAAAACTCGTCTAATCTCGACCATAAATCAACCCTTCTGCCCTCACTTGTTCTTCAACTTCGACCCAGAAATTCTCTCTAAAAATCTGAAGATTTACTCTCGATCCGGTCTCTACAGAACAAGGAGAGCATCACCAAGCCTCCCATCCGTCACCCATAGCACGGGCTTAACCCAAGGTGAGTGAATTCGAGTTTAATTCGGAAGTCTGTTAGACATGGGGTTTTGGGTTTTGGGTGATTTCGTACGAAATTGATGTTTGATTTGTGTTGTGCATGCAATTTTATGAGTTTTAGTGTTATATCCATAGTGAACCATGCATGTTTATGTATTTTGGTGAAAATCCGAGGACCAGAACGTCCGGTCTGAGGTCAGACCGTCCGTTCTAGGTCCGCAGAAGAAAACGCGAAGTCTGGAGGTTGAAGACGACTCCAGAACGTCCGTTCTGCAAGTCCGGAACGTCCGTTCTGACTTGCCAGAACGTCCGTTCTGGACGA